TGGTGTGGGATGGGGGCTCAGGGTGATGGTTGTAGGGTGAGTGGGGATGGAACCCCATCGGACCCCGTGGTGAGCTCGTGGGGTGGCTATGGGACATGGCATGGTGGCACTGTGGTGTAGGATGGGGGCTCAGGGTGACGGTTGTAGGGTGGATGGGGACGGAGCCCTATAGAACCCCATGGTGAGCTCATAGGGTGGCTATGGGACATGGCGTGGTGGCTTTGTGGTGGTCATGATGTAGGATGGGGACTCAGGGTGATGATTGTAGGGTGAATGGGGATGGAACCCCATTAGGACCCCGTGGTGAGCTCATGGGGTGGCTATGGGACATGGCATGGTGGCACTGTGGTGTGGGATGGGGGCTCAGGGTGATGGTTGTAGGGTGAGTGCGGATGGAGCCCCGTAGGACCGCATGGTGAGCTCAGGGGGTGGCTATGGGGTGGCTATGGGGTGACCATGGGGTGGCTATGGGGACATGGCACGGTGGCATTGTGATGGTTGTGGTGTCGGATGGCGACTCAGGGTGATGGTTGTAGGGTGAGTGGGGCTGGAGCCCTACTGGACCCCTGGTGAGCTCTTGGGGTGGCCATGGGTGGCTATGGGGTGGCCATGGGGCCACGGCGCAGTGGCTTTGTGGCAGTTGTGGTATAGGATGGGGGCTCAGGGCGATGCTTGTAGGGTGAATAGGGATGAAGGGGAGCTCATGGGGTGGCCATGGGGACATCGTACGACGGCTTTGTAGTGTAGGGTGTTGACTTGGGGTGCTGCTTGTAGGGTGAGGAGGGATGAAGGCAGCATCATGAGCCCAAGGGGCGGTTATGGGGCGGTTATGGGGCGGGTATGGGGTGGTTATGGGGTGGTTATGGGGCCGTGGCACGGCAGCTCTGTGGCACTCACGGCTCGCAGTGCTGCAGGCAGCGGTGTGGGATGGGGACTTTGCTGCTGGCTGTGATGGGATGTGATGGGAACATTGGGGCAGCTGTGAATGGGTGGGTTGGGGGTCCT